CGACTCCATAAGCTGTTATTGGTATCGGATTTATAGGATGTTTACTAACGGTCATAAGCTTAGTCTTTTGAGTGTTAAGTTTTAACCCATACTCATCGCATGTACTTGTAACTCTATCCAACAGCAACTGCAGTTCTTCCGGACTACTGGCTAACAAAACGGTATCGTCAGCATATTTTAAGTTGTTGACATTAACTCCATTCACTTTGACACCGCCATCGATTTCCTCGAGCGCCTCCCTGAAGATGAATTCAGAGTAAAGATTAAAAAGTAGTGGCGACATAATGCATCCCTGTCGCACACCTCTACGGATTGCTATTGTTTCCGAGGTATTTTTGCCAATTTTAACACTTGCCTGCTGATTCCAATAAAGGTTTCTAATTATTTGGAGATCCTTATCATCAATGCCCACTTCCCGTAAAATCGCAACCAATTTATCATGTTTTACCCTGTCAAATGCTTTTTCGAAATCAATAAAGCACATAAAGACAGGGTGATCGACATCTCTGCATCTTTGAACAAGGACTTGGATGCAAAAAAGTGCTTCTCTAGTTCCAAGATTGTTGCGGAATCCGAACTGTGTCTCGCTAATTTGTTCCTCTATTTTGGCATATACTCTTGAATGTATAATTCGAAGGAAAATTTTTAGGACGTGGCTCATTAAACTGATAGTTCTGTAATCAGAGCACTTCCTAGAGTTTCCCTTTTTGGGGATCATTACGAATGTTGACCTGATCCAGTCAGTTGGTATAACTCCGGATTCGTATATTTTGTTAAAAAGCGATAGTAGCGACTGTTTTCCTTTAATATCGAGACATATAGTATTTCCGATGGTATTTCATCCGGACCCGTTGCCTTTCCATTTTTTGCTGTTTTTATAGCCTTCTCTAGTTCACCCATTGTTATCATAGGGCCTGTATTACATTGTTGTATCACATTTTCTATTCTCTCGTCATCAAACAATTCTCCGATGTACTCTTTCTTATTAACCTACATATGCTGCCAAAATTTCATTTCGATATAAACTACCGATCTCCTTGGAACTTCCGCGGCGTATGAACTTCCGCGGCGTATGAAAGGCGCCACCCTGTACAAGTACGGACAAAATGTTATTACTTTTAAAAATAGTTAAACAGATGTAGGTGACGCACCCTACAAATAGGACTCATATTGACATCCAAACCAAATTTCTCATGTTAAAAAACTCCCATACACCAATTTGTTTTCCAAATATTGACGTTCGGTCAGAAATTATTTGGTAAAACTTCTACACCCTGTATCTTAGAAACTTAGCATTTTAGGACATACATTTATACCAACTTTTTTTACTTATTTTTATCTGCAGAATATACTGCCGAAGTTTTCAGAATACAATTCGGACCACCCTGTATAACTAGCATTAGTCAATCGAACAGCAATTTGGATATAGGTCTGATCATGGCAGAATCGCCGAAACCGGTCACTAATAAACAATTTTATAGTAGCTTAACATTGGTTCTAATTAATCACATTTAAATTTTCGTCATAACGGACAAAAAAATGCTTAACGTTTCGTAAAGTTTATCTCTTTCCGTCGTCGGAAGCAAAAAATACAAAGAATAAAGGGGAAAAACTATTTAAAATATGACATTGACATTTTAACAGAACGTCAATGGATTTTGTAGACGTATATATTTTAAAAACTAAAGTGTTGTCGAATAGTTGCATTTAAATATTTGAAATAGTTTTTCTTTCTTCTTTCTCCTTATTTTCTTTCTTCTTGTATTTCCTTTCTTTATTTTTGTATTTTTAGCTTCCGACGACGGAAAGAGATTCTTTTGTAAGTTATCAGCAAACCTACCTGCTGACAATTAGTCTCCGTTTGATTAACTCAGCTGTGCTTACAAAAAATAACTATTTTATTTTATAGATTTTCTTGCAGAGGCAAAAAACACATATAGGATTATTTTGAAAAATATAATCTAAACGAGATGGACAAAATATATCCGATTAACCATACGACATTTGGTTACAAGGAGAATATTGGAGCTTTCCTGACTAATCTGTCTATACTTCCGGCAAAGCAATGAATCTCAATCAGATATATTGACGGATATACCAAACTAAAAATTGCTACAAATTCGAGGTTCGAGCATTGGTAGGGTAAGTCAGGTAGAGATGGCCCACTTTTCTTTTGCGGCTAATAATTCATATTGGTAGTTAACTTTCAATGAAACTAATGATGCAATCCTAAACTATCTTTAATTCATAATAGGACTAAGATAGTAATATAATGAGTAAATATATATAGTAGTAAGGGAACAATAAAAAATAAAAAATTGGCCATCTCTCCCTACGTTGCGGGAGAGATGGCCTTCCAACATGGGAGAAATGCTCCGCAAAAAAATACATATACATATTGGTTAAATATCTAAGGTTATTTTTTATTTTTTTAACTACTATCCAAAAGTTGGGGATGGCCCTATGCTTGCTTTTTCTGTGTTGTTGTTTGTCTCCCTACGTCTCAAAGTCCTTGCAGGAATTCCAAAAGCATGCATTATGCTTTTATGCCCATTTGGTCGGTATTAATGGCTTGCAAAGCAGCAGTCAATGATTTTTCAAACCACTGAGCGCTTTCGGGATATTTTATTTTATATTCAGTAGGCATGATTAAAAAAAGTTACTTTTTAGTAAATGAATTAGTAGGGCATCTTTACCAGCTTTCTATGTGGCATCTCTCCCAATACGATGAGAGAGATGCCACACCGTAAGGTTTTAAAATGCAGGGACATATGATTAATTTTTTGATTTGGTTTGGTTCAAAAAAAATTCTATTTCAGAAACGTTATGTTGCCATATTGCAAAAATATCATCAACATAACGCAGCCATATTACAGGCTTTTTTGAAAAACTATTTATTGTATTATTTTCAAAATCTTCCATTAAAATATTACTTAACAAAGGAGAGAAATATTACTTAACAAAGGAGACCAAAAAAGATGATCCCATTGCCATACCGAAATCTTGTTGAGAAAAAATATTATTTAATTTGAAATAAGTAGTTTTAACACAAAGTGTCAACAATTCCATAATACTATCTATATTTAATTTTGTTCTATCTATTAAATGTGTATCTTGTTCTAATCTATCCCTAACTATTTGAAGTGATTTATCTACCGGCACATTAGTAAAAAAACTAACAACGTCAAAACTAACCATTAAACTGTTAGGTGTTTTTGTTTAATGTATGAATCGACATATGTATTGCAGTGCAGTGGCGAAATAGGATTTTTTTTTATAAATGATTTTTTTGAAAAGATAAATCCGCCACATAGGTACAGACATATTTTAAGTAATCTATTGTTAAGCCATTTTAACTTTCTGCAACAATTTTATAATTAAACAATTGTAATGCTTTTAACTATATATAATTTGGATTTATTTTGTTATTACTTGACTTTTTTATGTATTTTATGTATTTGACTGTTTTTATGGAGTTTTTTACTTTTTTGAATTATGGTCTATGATGTTTTAATTTGGGCCTAAGGAGTTTTCACCGTTTCAGAACATGTCGTGCCCTATTTGTAAAAAAAAATAATGCAAGATTGTGAACAACTCATTAGAGAGAATATTCAATAATATTGCGAATATTTAGTTCTCTCTGCGCTGGGCGTTCTTATACAGACAACATATTTGTGTTACAACAAATAATTGAAAAAAGGAGAGCTCGAAATTTGGACACGCATCTGGTATTTATAGATTTAGAGAAAGCCTATGACACGGTGACTTTGAAGAAATTATTTGAAATCTTGGTTGAAGCAAATGTGAGTAAAACATATATCAATGCGATCTGGAATATGTACAAAAATCCAAAAAGTATGATCAGACAGGGGAAGTTCCTATCGGAATCCTTCCTGGCATCTAAAGGACTTAGACAGGGGTGCAGTTTATCACCTACCTTATTTAAAATATATATCCAGGAGGCATTGAAAAACTGGAGAAGGAAGAGTAGAGCTATGGGAATAGAGATTGACAACCACTGTCTATCGACCTTGTTCTTTGCAGACGACCAAGTTATTGTTGCAGGTTGTGAGGAGGATGCCGACTATATGTTCAGGAAACTTGAGGAAGAATACGACAGATGGGGACTCAATATCAACCTCACAAAAACCGAATACCTGCAAGTAGGAGAAGAACAAACTGAAGATCCTGAACTACACATACATGAAATTAAAAGGTGTAGCGAATATAAATATTTAGGAAGTATTATATCTGAAGAAGGGAACGCCAAGAAAGATATACATAGTAGAGTTCAACAAGGTAAGAAAGTAATCGGTCTTTTAAACCCTCTCCTGTGGTCAAATAAAACATCCATCCAAACAAAGATAAGGATTTACAAAGCAATCGTAGAGCCAGTTTTAACATACGGTGCCGAATGCTGGCAATTAACAGCAAAAGAAAGAAGGATGGTCGAGTCAGTGGAGATAGACTTTCTCAGAAGAGCATGTCGCATTTCAAGGATGGAACATATTAGAAATGAGGCAAAGAACAAGGCGAATATCTACCAGCACCGACAACATCGAATCGAGACAGCTACTATGGTCTGGGCACGTAAAAAGAATGGGAGGAGAAAGATGGCCAAAAAGGGCAATGGAGTATCGTCCCCAAAGCAGAAGGAAAAGAGGAAGACCTACAACTACGTGGTTAGATGGAGTAGACCAGTACATGAGAGACATAGCTATTAACCAGGAAGAATGGCAAAATCGAGCAATATGGAGGTCGAAATGCGGGATGCGGCAGAAGCTGTAGGACCCTTGCTTTATATATTATATATATAGTTCTCTCTCTTCCACATCTTATATTTTTTCAGATTTTTATTCGCATTATTTCAACAGATACATCAATTTTTCTAAAGCTTTACAAACGAATCGAATCACTAGGTATCCTATGTCGTATAAGCTACCTGCGCTACAATGTTTTGATATATAGAATATAACTATTAATATTAAATAAATACTCACACTGCACTTTTAACTCCACTCTCTTGCTTATAGATGGCGGTACTCCGTTTGATGCTATGCACAGGTACACACCCATATGTAACCGGCTTACTTTTGTAATAAACAGAATTTCGCCATCCACAACATTCACTGAAATAAAAAAAATAAATTATATAAGTCACCAGTCATGCTGAAATATTTTTTTTTATCTGGGTATGAATTAGAACTGGAAATTAAGTGAGCTAGATACGTTAAAAATAGCGAGTAATCTCTAAAGTCCCTTTACATATTTTGTTACATAATTTCTTAAAATTTATCCATATTATTTATAATTATAATAAAGTTAGGCCTAATTAAAGTAAAACTATCGTATGATCGTCACATTTTTCATATAAATTTATATATAAAATGACAGCGATCTTTATTTGTTTGTTCATTGAGTTTCTTGTATTGTTTTAATAGCTACAGTTTTGTACAGTTTTGGTAACCATCTGAGCTACTGCTGTTGGTGTTGATAACAATTATTAATAAAACCATCAAATTTAGCCATCGCTGACGCCATTTTTTTTTTCAATCATACGGTATTAACTAACCTTAGAGGCATCACAAGGGACACGTTATCTAAAATAATTGAGAAAAAATTGTACGCCACTGACTTTATCAGACATCTAAAAATACAACTTGTTTCTCGAAACGAAACAATTATTAAAAATAAATAATTTTAGCAATTATTATTCTATTTTCTATGATACTATATTTGCAGCATACTTAATGATCTTCACATATCTCGGAAATATCTGGCAAGTCAAGATTCTAAAATTTTCAAACTTTGCACCCCGCCGCGCGCCGGTTTCCAAATGGAAACTTTAAGATTGGATAACGTTTATTCAGTTTAAGTTCAAATAGAGACCATTAGTAGGTTATTACCTTGGTGTAAATTATATTATGCAAATCAAAAGTAAATTTATCACATTAAACTTAATTTAAGATACTTGAGTAAATAATATACACGGTACGGTCGGTGGTCCGAATTATATCCGGGAAACTCCGGCAGGATATTTCGTATAATATAATAAAAAATTCGTATAAATTTATGTCCTAAAATGCTTCGTTTCGGAGATATAGGGTAGAAGTGTATAAGGTTTCCTTTTTATTTCGATTTATTCCAAATAATTTCCAAACTAACCTCAATATTTGGACGAAAATTGTTGTCCAGGTGTTGTGAAGAAGTACTTGGCTTGTTTTTTTTTCTAATAAAACACTTCAAAATATATACGTCTTTGCTCTTTTAGTTGCAAGGTTGTAGTTTATAAGTGTCCTGTATGGTAGTCTTCCAGTACTTTAAATTATTTCATAGTTCGTTTTATTGTTGGAAATAAAAATGGATAATTTAACACCGGCACAAGCTGCAAGGATAATCGCATTGATAGTAGGTCTCAGACATACGTCGCTAACGTTTTGGGTAGAATGTAGTATGTATGGGAAGGGGTAATGTTCTTAATAGGTCTGTTCCATAGAACTTTATTGTCCAGGGTTATTCTCTAAATTTGACTTCCTGTGATGGCAGTATTTCTTTTACATCTTGTATTCTTTTCAACTGCACTACCGATGTTTTGTCTGAGTTCAGCCCGACAATTCTGCACCATTTTAATTAATAATATCACATAGGGTACCTTCATGTTTCCTCCAAACAATCATTTACTGTGTCATCTGCATACCGTATGCAGTGTATTCCCTCTAGAGTTGTCTAGTTGTTCATCCACTACCAAGCTTCCACCTAGTAGAGTTTCGTACATTGTTTTAATAGCTACAGTTTTGGTATCCATCTGAGCCTCTGTTGTTCGTGTTAATCGCAATTAAGTAAACCATCGAATTACCGTTTTGTTCACACCTCTTCGTGAAGTATGATGTCTCTATTAGCTCCATTAATTTGACGATTCTAACATGGTTAGCGAAACGCGCGTCCAGTGTAAAAATAAAAGCGTGTATTGTGGTGATTTAGTGTTTTATTTTACTGTGTAACACCAAAGGTTCCAACCCCCAACTGTAAAGTGCAGCTCAGTCTTTTATGAATCTGCCCGCTCTATATGCATGCTGATTATCGTACAGTGGTTTAACCTTGGGATGATTTTCTCCAATATGGTTGTCCACTACTTTCTCCATCGTTTTTAATATGAACGATGATCTAAATTATTTAGAGTTGGTCCAGTGATTTTTGCCTTTTATGTGTATGAAAATTACTGTTTCTCTTCCGCAGATGGTATATATCCCATCGCTATGTTGCTGCTTATAATTTTTACTAGATGTTCAATACCGTCAAATGTTTCAATGATCTGTTAACCAGAATCTGTGATGACACAATGCAAAAGAAAAAAAAGAACAACCAGGATACATTTTTTCATAGAATACAAACAATCATGTATATTCTATAGTTTCAAGTAGAGAGAGAAGGGGGTTTCACCATCCTCTTCCTGGCGCAAGAAGTGACGCAATGTGACGTCATCAGCTATGAACATGTAAAATATGCTAATAAACAAGAATAAACAGGTTTAAACAAGAAACAACCAACCATCTATAAAATAGGAATAAACAGGTTTGAGAAAAAAATGAACATGTCTGTTGTTTTATGCTAAAAAGCGGTTCAAAGCGGTTCAAGCCTATTCATTCTTGTCCCATGACGTCACTTCCTGCGCCGGCAGGAGGATGGTGAAACCTTCTCCCTCTACTGTTTCAAAAACAATCAAATTCTATGTTTATATATTGTATCAATATTGTAGCATTTATATTCATCAAAAAAAGTCTAGAGATTGATATAATTTCAAAAAATTTCTCTAAATTCGAAAACAGCAAATTTTTCATCACTATTTTATGAGCAATATATTTAAAGATAAATATTGTTTAAAAAGGAATTATTTTAGGGAAATTTAAAATGTAATATGTACGAGTATGCTTCTTTTTTCAAGATTTTTTTTTGTTCGCTCTCTTTTAATATATGTTAAAAGCTACAACAAAAGCACAGGTTTAAATTACGCGTTTTGTTTTAACGCAAATCTAAAGCAGAGCTTAAAACCTTAATAGCATATATGTACAGTAAATTAACTCCTAAAGTCCATTCTCAGTTTTGAGGAGCTTAAAAGTTGGCTATTTTCAACAATCCTCTTTGTCTTGTTTAGACTTAAATTAAGTTCAAATGGTTTTGTTAACTAGGTATGCTAGGAACTATTCTATATACAGGGTGAGTTTTCTACGATGTTCTCAATAGATATCTCGGAAACTACTGAAGATAGAGAGTTGGTTTAAAGGAGAAATAATTGCAGTTTTGTAGGGTCATAAATATGCGCCTTTCAGATTTTTGAAAAAGTCATGGCTTTTTCAAAATGGCTAAAAAACAAATTTCAGCTATTTTAAAAATTGTTCCTAATTTCATTATAATTTGTTTTAGACAAAAAGTTTTCAAATAAAAGTTGTAGATAACCACATCCCTAATGAGTTTGTGCCCTCTATTTTTTTTAAAGCCTGTCATTTTTGATATATGACACAAACATATGTTTTTTTAAATGGAAACCATAGTTGGCCATAACTTTAATAAAAGCGTTATTTTTAAGCTTTTTAGCAATATATAAGCTATATGTCTTTTTTAAATTACTGAGTTATAGCCAATTCTTTTCATTTTTAAACAATTTCACATAGTTAGCCGTGGAAACAAGTTCAATCGTCGTTGCCCTCAGAAATATGAAACTGTTACATCTAAACTTTATAAATTAAAATTAACAAAAATTGTAAATATTAATTTTTCAAAAGAAGAGAAATACGCATATTTAATAAGCATATTTAACACTTTGACATTACTACTTTGGTCCACCTATGATATTCTTAAAATTCTTGTAACGCTTTTAGTTCGTTACATGTCTTTCATATATAATATATGATGTCTGGCGTATCATCACCGGATTCCGTATCGCTGAGGTGCTACCATATCGGACTGCTCTCCGATGAAAAGCTGCCGTTCGCAGTGGTAGTTGTTTATAAAACGCTACATTCTTTTGTAACGCCACATTTCAAAGGCTTCTATTTTTTTCTCGCTCTTATTCAACGTCCAAGATTTCAAATATGAAGGGTCGAAAAAACATAAGGTACCTAAGTTTGTAAACCCACCCTAGCTTGTTCTGTTTTCATTCTTATTTTACTTGTGATTGTCTAACTATTCATACAAATAACATCAAAAACATTATTTAACATTAAAAAATTAGCATTTTAAAGTAAACTAATACAAATGGTAATTTTCCAAAGTAGTATAAACAATCATTTTCCATTAGAATATCTTTACTCTTTGTTCCCGACGAAGGCTACAAATTAAGTTTATATTTTGCTGCTGACTAGCGACACTTGGAACTTGGTTGGGAAGTAAGCGCTGCGCCCAAACTAATTCCACTAAAATTTCTCTGAATTATTTCCACATGCTCCCCATGCATTGTGCGCTACTATAATAATGTGTAAAGCCAGCGTAATGCGAGGTGGCTGTGGAATACTGAAAGCCTGCGAGAAATAAACCGAGAAAGATGTTCTTGTTACCGAGGGCGATCGATAAGTTTATGAAAAGAATACGGTTAGAATATTTTTATTATGATATTCTTTCTATTTTTATTATGATATTATTTCTATTCATACGCAAATGTTATTGTGATGAATTAACACGAAAAACGGACACATAAAATTTTCATGTGCCACGCCCTTTCTAATTCGAAGTTCAATAAAACACAAGTTTACTTAATCGGTAATGAGTTGCATAGAGGCCACTAGCTTTTTAATTTTAACAGCCGGGTGGTCGGGGTTCAAAGATTATTAATTAATAAAAGTGCACCACGAGATTATACTCTATGAACTCGGCAATAAAGATGTAACTATTAAGTAGACTTCAACACTAACCTCGAACTGTTGAGTGTAACTATCATGAACTTCAAATATTCTATAAATATTTGTACTTAAGTGACTCTAACTTAACTATGAGACTAGACTGTAAATAATACTACTAACAATATTTAAGCAATTAATTAAAATATTAAAAAGTTAAATATATATAAAAAACGAATGACATGTAAAATGTAATACGTTAAGAAATTATTTAAATCGAAAGGTTGGAAAAGAAAATA